CTTCTATGTATAGTAGGTAGGAAAGACTTTATATTAATTTGTTAAATATCAAAAAACTGAAATTTACAAAACGTTACCTTTTTACTCTTTACATTATCTTTGTTGCAATTATCGTCTTCTACCTTATAATCATCACAATCATCTTCTTCAAATGAATCGGAGACTGATTCATAATCATAATAATCTGCTTGACGTTGGTTTTGTTCATGATTGTTGTTAACATCGATGGAAGTTGATAAGAGTGATGGATCACCACCTTTATTTAAATTACCATCGTTCTGAATCACAGGACAGGAATAGAACATTTCAGCATTCTTGAATAATATTACTCGGTCAAAAATAAAGACTGGTAAATTACCTTTTGTTTTTTAGAATGTATTTCTGCGACTGAAGCAAATATTTCCTCTTCTTTCTGCACATGGACTATTTTTTTCTGTACGTGCGCCATGGTCTATTGAAGATAAACGACGCTATAAGTTTGCCATTCGGATCATAAATCAACATCAACTAAACCTTTTCAATAAGCATCAACCAACCTCATAAAGGGACTTGCTATATTTTCCATTGTATATTCGTTCATACATCATTCGAAGATCTTCCGTAAGTACCTTAGTTTCAGGAAGCTGAATTATATGGGATTCTGTAAGTGATGTGAAGTGACGAAGCAGTGCCTCGTTATTGACATTCACCTCCTTATCTTCAGCAAACCGGTTAGCAATAACACGAATAGATTGTGGTATCGATCTTTGCTTAACTATCCAACCTAGCGAGCTGTCAAACACGTCTCCCATAGTGGCAAATCACGTTCATCTTTACAAGCCCAATCGATGTAATGCCTTAAACTCCATAAGCCGGCTTTAACTGAAGTAAAGTAACTGTGTACCATAACCGAATTTACTACGCAATCTTCTGCGAGTTCCATATTGAATTTTGTTGATTAAAAAAATGACGTGAAAATTTGCGTTGCTAAGTTGCTTATGCGCGAATAGGCAGAACCTCGTGATTTATGATTGTCGGTGAACTCACGTGACTTACCTTTTAGGGTATTCGATACACATGATATTTTTTACACAAAAAAAATCACGATTTGGTTCAGGAAGAAAATAATTTTATTAATATAAGATTTTAGATGCAGCCTAATAGCAAATTACTATGTAAATAAGTGAATCAACTATCAATCAATACGAGTCCCGACATATCGTTACATAGAGGTTTGACTGTAAATGAAAGACTTCGTGTGGCGAACCTCTGGGAACGTGAACTTTGCTCAGATCTATTCATGTACAGACCAAGTGGCGGTGAATAGATTTATAAAAAAGGCCAGTTTG